TTATTTCCAAAAGAAAATCAAACATAAATCTTCAATTTTAATGATTGGAGTGAAAAAAATTCTCTCTTGATTTGGAGAACAAAGCAGAAAAGAGAGGAGGAAGGGAAATATCAACTGACGTTTTTTTATAGGAAATAACTGCTGATTATTTGCGATCGACAATTCTTTCCTCGTGTATCAAACAAGTTACGGGTAACGTAGCTTCAAACTTAATACCAGGTAAAGTGGAAAACTTATATTTTTATTTTTACTTTACAGATAATATTGAAACAAAGAATATATTTAAATTCTAAATAAAAAAGTTTTTATTGGACATGCTTTAATATAAATATGCAGTTTGTACCTTTCAAACTTCTTTTCCTTGCTTTTCTATATATTTCAATCCTTAAAAATACATGCATTTCTTTTCCAGACACTGAATAAGTGAAATAATTTGTCAAGTGACCCTTTGCTGTACATAGACAAATTCTGTAAAAACAAATACATAAAATTACGGTATTTCGTTTATTAAAAGCAATTCAGACATGGAAACCGGTTTCAATTCATCTAAACAATCCCAGAAATTCCAAAAATTACGTAATAACGAATATATTCAATCTACTTCGGAATTAGCGACGTGATCTGTGATTCTGTGTTTAGGAATCATCGTTTTCCTGGAAAATTTTCTTATTCTTGTGGCCGCCGCACGAAATAGGAAGTTACGAAACAACATTCATTACAACCTGGTGTTCTCTCTCTCCTTCAGTGATCTTCTACTTGGCATCAATCTTATCATTTACGGAATTATATCCACAGAAACTGACGAGGGTGTAAAGCTAGATTTAGTCTGCATTGTAATCATTGTCTTTGGTGTATTACAACGCTCATGTCCTTTCTACAATCATTTTACATAAGTCTTAATCGCTATCTCGTCATGCCGGAAAAGAAACTAAATCACGTTTTATGGAACGGTAATCGGAAATATTTGGTTTACTGTATATCTTGGGTTGGAGTCATCGTCTTGGTTTGTTCCCTGGTTTCAGCGAAGGGTGAGGAGTGCAAACTTCAACTAATATACGGAGATAATTTTTCCATCTTCCGAGGATTGTACTATTCCTTTTATTCCCTCCTTTTATTCCTCACCATACTGTTCTACATGCTTGCATTATGGCATATTCGGAACAAGTACAAGAAAACAGAGCCCACCGCCAATTCTCCAAATGTCGACAACACCATGGAACACTTGTCTCATATTAAACATCAGCGTGTTATCAAATCTATGAAACTTGTAGGGATAATTACAATTACACTGTTGATTCTATCGGGGCCAATGGCATTGTGGGGTACAACGGATTCTACTTATTTCACGTATACTATTTTTTTTCTTTTTGTGACGCCCCGTGGGGATCAGGGTTAGAATAGGTCCTCAGTACCCCCTTGCTTGTCGTAAAAGGCGACTAAATGGGACCGTATAAACCGAGGCCCCGTGTCACAGCAGGTGTGGCACGATAAAGATCCCTCCCTGCTCAAAGGCCGTAAGTGCCGAGCATAGGCCTAAATTTGCAGCCCTTCACCGGCAATGGTGACGTCTCCATATCAGTGAAATATTCTGGAGAGGGACGTTAAACAGTATACAATCAATCAATCAATCTTTTTTTGTCATCCTAAATTCTGTTATCAATCTAATTATATATTGCTTGGATATAGAAAAATTAAGGAAGGAAATAATATCAATATTTTCAATCAAACGAAAATGATTTTAACGCATTTTGACATTTAAAAAAAGTTTTCATGTCAAGACTCAGTAAATTAACAGGCTTGTATCGGTGTAGATGTGTATGTTTGATTGTCATCGAATTATGTTGTTTGGGGAAATAAATAATATTCTTTGTTGGAATGCTACTATACTGTATTTAAATTTAATTTTTGTTTAAAAGTTGATATTTGTTACAGAAATAACCCCGATAACTTGACTGTTGTCTACAGAAAACCTTAAATTATATACATTCAGTCACATGTTTTTTTTTTAAAGAAAGTCTACTACAATACATAAAAGCAAGTTCGATTCCAAGTAGGAATAATTTCCAAATTGAAACAAGCCTTTGCAATTAATAATTGAATAAGGATATCAACAGTATCATTTAATTCATCTAAACATTATTGCAAAATTCTATTCGCTATTTAATAATCTGGTTTGCATAATCTTTTTTAACTTGTTTTTCAAATGACACTTTTATACGTTTATTTGTAACTTCTGCTGATGTGCTATCCTTAGTGGGACAAAATATGTATCAGATTTTACAGAAACAAATCACGCACGCACCCACAAATACATGGCTCTATACACTTTATTTTAATGTTTCAGAATGTTTTAAATGTTTGCATAACAGAGTCACTTATAACTACTATGTTAAATTAATAAAACCAAAACATTTCCATGTGAACACTAAAAAAGCATAGTTAATTAAAGAAATACATGTTACTTTGAAACCGATTTACAATGAACCTTTACTTTATCACTTTTCCTTGATTTTATTTTAATGTTTTGAACCTTAAAAACTCAATACCAATGATGTAAACTTTGTAAATAATATATTTTAAATATTCAAGAATTTAATCACCATGATAAATATAAAAATGAGTCATCCTTCGTGAAAATTATCCCTGATTCAAATGGGAATTATTTCGCGTTTAAGGTCGACCACAGTTACAAGTTATTGAAATAGAAAATCCTATTTGAACTGAAGTCTTTTTTCAGATATACATGTATAAAACATTCTTACATACAGGTATATACTCTCTAGATAGGAAAAACTGGGGGAGGGGGTACCTCCGGAACATTTTTTGCTTGTGCTTTTTCTTGTTGATCCATTCCAGACGAATTGCCAATTTTCAATGAACTAAGATCTGCACCGTAAAACCTTGCATTTGGACTTTCCACTACAGAACTACATGGTATGTCTAATTGTTTAGTGCTACGCCGACGCTTAGGACCAATACCCAAACGGCGAAATTTCTCAAAATCGGAATCCGATTCGCCACAGGTTTTCTCGGCCAAACCACGCTCCTCTGAATCGACACTTAATTGGGAACTGGAGGCACACGAAGTTGTTGGAGTGATGCTTCTAGAAATCTGAAAGAAAAATCCATTTAATGTTTTATTGCAATTTTCCCTAAATATTGATAATGTTCATTCTTTAATTATCTATCTCTCACCACTTTCTCTCTTTTTGTAAACCATTATTTTAGTTTCCATAATAATAAGTACATTAAATAATTTAAAGTGTAACAAAACTCAAACACAAGAAATTTTGTTCACAAACATTGCAAATGCATTATATTTTAAAATAAGTAAATTTCCAATATATTTCCTTAAAACTCGTTGCAGTTAACAGGACTGTTCATTTTCTAATGAACACTTTTGTTTTTAATTTACAGCTCCTTTCTTTCCCATCCTTTCCATTTCTTCTGAATTAGAAATGTTTAACATTCCTTACAATTTAGATTACATGTAGTACATATGTATCATTTGGTATTTTCAAGTGTCAACTTACATTCCATTTTCCCTCTTCTATTGTTAATGTATTCTTATTACTTCTATTATTAATTGTATTCTTACTACTTTTATTGTTAAATACTTCTTCTATTATTAAATGTTTTCTTACTATTTGTCCAGCGTCATGTTCATTAGAACCTTCTCTGCATAGTTTCTCATTTCTCTCTGGTAAAATATGCATGTCCTGATGTGTTTGTTGAGCTCTTATTTCAGGTGAATGTTGCAGATTAGAATGACATACGCTATGTTCTTCTTCTTTCTCTGATATTACTGATGGTATCTTCTTGTATCGTTGTTGTGCCATTACTTCTTGGAATGTCGTTGTTGAGCCAATAGGACTGTTTTATCTTGTTTCTGTGTAATATTCTGTGTAATATACAGTAAATATTTTTGATATTTGAAATCTTGAGAGAATCTAATTTTGGAGGACTCGATCTCCAAAAAAAAAACTACAGAAATATTGTTAATCAGATATTCAAGCACCTTTTAAATATCAACTGCAGATTACATGTGTTTACAATCAGAATGTTTTAACAAATTAATAATTTTGTAAATGAAGAATGACAAGGTAAGTATATTTGAGGTCCACATTTATTGATAAGGAAAGTGTCTATGAAGTAAAAAACTGGACTCTACTTTATCATGGGAATGGTTGTTTAAGGGTCGTGCGATGTATGTTTGATGTATTTGATTTTGGCAAAATTGTCTGATTTTAAATTTTCTAAAATTTCCTTGTGGCATAGTGTTATGAATTATAGACAGTAATACTTTTCTAATTTACCTTTCAATACAATCATATTAATGACATTTACCGAACTATGACGTCATAGACGTTACTATAACGTTATGTTTTAGACTTGTTATGATTCAAATAAACCACTATACGGTTCAGATGTGTTTACTATGATGTTACAATCTTGACATTGGTGCCGTGACGAAAAAGGAGAGATGACTTCAAAACTGAAGGCAGTAAGGGCAGGACAGAGAAGTGCTGTAACCAGACTTCTGAAGAGACTGGAGGAAGAAAATGAAGATGCAGAGGAAATTGAGGCAGTTTTGGAGACATTGATAGACAAACAGGAAATTCTCAGAGATCTGGATGAAAAAATTCTAACAGAAACAGCGGAGGAGGATATCGAGAGAGAAATACTGGAGACAGATGAGTACAATTTCAATCTTAATTCTAAAATGAGAAAATCTGTTAGTTCATCGTTCAAATTTGAATCCAACAGCCAACATTTATTCAAACCAGAATGAAAATTCACAAATTGAAGGGAATAGTCAATCAACACAATTTCAGTGAAAATTCAAGAACTCATCAGTCCCTTACAAGCTTTCATTCAAATCCAAACAGTGCTAACTTTCACAAACTTCCAAAATTAAACTTACCCATTTTTGAGGGAAATGTGTTGGAGTGGCAGTCATTCTGGGATTCATTCGATTCAGCTATTCATAGCAACAACACATGACAGAAGTTCAAAAGTTTAACTACTTAAAGTCTTTAGTAGCAGAGGAGGCATCGAACACCATTTCAGGATTTGCACTCACACATGCAAACTACAACAGAGCGATTGAGCTTCTACATGAGAGGTTTGGACAAAAACATAAGATAACTCAGTCCTACATGCAAGCGCTCTTAGACCTACCCCCTCCCAAAAATAATCTCACAAGCCTGCGTCATTTTTATGACCAAGTGGAGACATACGTCAGAGGTTTAGAATCCTACGGACAAGCTCAAGATACTTACGGTTCTCTTCTAGTACATGTGATTCTGAACAAATTACCTACTGAAATACGCAAGAATTTGGCACGTGAACATGGCTCTACTGATTGGTTACTAAGGGATTTGAGAAACAGTCTTTACAGGAAACTTTACATATTAGAAGCTGGAGCAGGTATTGATGCAACAGAACCAAGCGCAACAGCAACCTTTTATACCCATTCAAAGTCCAGTCATAAGCAACTTCAACGCAACTTCAGTCCGAGGAAACCTCATGTATGCTGTGCATTTTGTAAGGAGACACATCGTTCGAATGATTGTACAAAATACAAAAACTGCGCTGACCGCATGAGAATTGTCAAACAAGACAAGTTATGCTTTAACTGTTTGGGCCGACATCGTGTTACAGACTGTCAATCCAGATCCAATTGCAAAATCTGTAAAAAACGTCATCACACAAGTTTGTGTTCAAATCGCGAGGTAGTCAAAAGCATCAAGGAGAGTACCCCTTCACTTCAAGCAAAAGATACAGAAAGAGCAGAAACATCAGTGATGCATTCATCTTCACATAGAGATCAACCAAACGTTTTGTTACAAACTGCAGTTGCACCTGTCACATTTGGAAAACTGACAACTGATGCTAATATTCTGTTTGATGAAGGAGCTCAAAGATCATTTATCTCTAGGAGTTTGGCTGACAAGATAGAATTAACACCAACAGGATATGAGAATATCAACATTCTTGGATTTGGAGAATCAGGAAAAGAGAAAGGAGTTCAAAAGTTACAGACAGCTGTAGTCAAGGTCCAAGCTATAGAGAGAGAAGATATACCTGTCAAAGTCTTAGTGGTCCCAGAGATAGCAGCTCCAATTAAAACGCATGTAGAAAATGCAGCAAAATTATCACATTTGAGGAATTTGAGATTGGCACATCCTGTTGCACAAGAGGAGGCATTCCAAATTGAATTACTTATTGGAGCAGATCAGTACTGGAATTTGGTGGAGGAAAAGATAATTAGAGGAGAAAATGTTCGTCACAATATCATATCAAAAATTAGATTATTTCACTTAGAATGGCTGGAAATCTGTTTAAGCTTTCAGTTTTGCCTCACGATCCTTTGTAGGTATAGAAGGTTCGTTATCGTCCCCAGAATTTAATTCTAATGGATACAGTTTTGTGATTGGCCTAGAAGTTATACCATTTCTGGTCTTTAATAAAACAGATCTGATTATTCCATCTTGGCCGGTGTAAAGACGAATAATGACCCCCATCGAATAATGACCGGGGGGTCATTTTTCAACGACAAAAAATGACCCCCACCCGTAGAAAAAAATCATTTTTTGTAGAAAAAGGGTCCTAGGGGGTCATTATTTTATATGTTAGTCCTATAGAATAATGACCCCCATTGAAAAATGACCCCCTTTAAAGTGATACAAAATATACACTCTTTGATATCTTTTTTACAGCGAAACTAATTTTTACATTTTCTGTAACCAGAAAAATACAAAAAGTCGTATGAAATAATTAAGAGATTCACGCAGTCTTTCAATGCTAAAATTGTGTTTGAAAAGAGATTCTTTAATTGTCAAGTAAATAAAATTTCTTTTTAATATTCCTCCTTATAATGTTCGCTTAAAGAATGATATTCCACTTGTTTATAGAAATCAAACCATGCAAAAATCAGGTTTAAATACTCTTTAATAGGAAAAATTAAAATTCCGTCATTTCAACTTTTAGTTTGTTTAAGTTTGGCAAATCCTATTTGACAATGAAAGAGGAAGAGATTTTTATCCCCCCCCCCCCAAAAAAAAGAACATTACGCAAAATCAAAACAAAAAAAATAATAATAAATGAAAAGAAGAAATATAAATAAAACTCTATACCTTTCAATAATTCTGAAAGAGGCTCTAGATAAAATATTGAAATGAAGTTAAGCCTTCACACAAGTACTATCATATCATAATTTACTTCGCCATGATTAAAGCATACTTTAAATGTTGGTGGAGGTATACTTAAAAGTATTGTGGCAAAGTAACAATTAAAAATTAGTAGAATAGTAGATTATTTTAAGCTTATTTTTAATTCCTTTCTTATAGAAAAATAAAGGTAGGGTGTTTTTTTTGCTCTTGTTCAATATCGACTTCCTGATAAATAAGAAAGGGGGTGGGGTAAGTATAAGACCTAAAAATATGCTCTGTAAAATATGGGCTAGTGTAAAATACACAGTCATTCTAATGCAAAAACTATACATGTAGACATAAACTTTTGATTTAGCACACAGTATTCATTACATTTCTTTTAACGTAGAACCTACTTCGTATGACATCATAACTTGTAAATGTGTTAAACCTGTGCTAACCCATTAAGACGTCATAATTAATTCAATGCCACTTTTTCCCATACTTGACAGCTTCAATAAAAATGGTAGAAAATACTGCATTTTGAAATTCACAGAATTCAATCATGCCAACATAATCTTGATTCAATTCATATATTTTTTGGTTTATAATGCTTAATGGCAATATATTTCTGGAATAAGAGAAAATATGTAGGCACCTTTTATTTACTAGATCTAGACCTGAAGTTGACAAACCCAAGACTATCTAGTGTAATGAAATTACAGTGTACATACAACTTTCGTAATAATTTGAATGGTATGTAACCATTTTGAAGGAATGTATAAATCGTAAGAAATCTTTAGTTGCCAGCTACATGTATATAGCGTAATATCTTGATGAAATGTGTCTAAGTCAAAGATGCACGTGTTGTAGATCGTTTGATCGTGTGTACTTTTTTGTGATATCTATAATGAAATGATGTGCATTCCTTTTAACAATTATTTGTTACCTATTCATATTTTTGGTGTTTGATTACAATTTTTCTATTAAATATGATCTTTTTAAAGAAAAAGTACAATTTCTGATAAATATTTAATCTGAAAGTAACCCCAAACAGTCATTTAATTACTGTAGACGTACTTTTTTCCACGGGGTCATAATTCCGCGGAATCTCAATTTCTGTTTAATCCGCAGGTAGAAAATTACGCGGATTTCTTAGACTGTCACGATATTCCTTACATTTATATTAAGTACGCTTGAACAAATTTCCACGGAAAGTTTGTGACCGCGTACATAGCGTAAATTAATACCGCGCGGGAAAAAGTACTTCTACAGTATTAAATCCCGTGTAAGTGCAAAAAGGTCAAGAAAATGAGTTGAAAGGTTTATATTTTAATCATTTTTTGTAATCATTTGGCTATGTTCTTCATCATATTGAAGATTGAAAACATTGTGACAAAGACGTCTAAAAAATATTTACAAATATAGGGTGAATAATTGACTAAAAATAATTCATTTGACTATTTTTTTAATGGTGGACTTATCTTTTATGTTAATTGAATAAAAAAGAAATTATTCTTGATAAGATATTGTTTAATATTATTCAGTTAAAAATTTTTATAAACGACGATGTTTGAAGAAGTATTTTTGTGATTTTTCATATTCCCTTTATGACAAGTACCCCTAAAAATATTTGAAAATGTGAAATCGCAGTATTTAAATACCCTACCAAGTCATTTTGAAAAGTTTGAAAATCTTGCAATTGTGACAAAGACTTTTCCGACATAGGTTCTACCTTAATTCTTGTTTTACTCCACCCTTTTACTCAGTTCTGAGTATATTTTTCAGAGAATTTAATATGAAAATCAGAACAAACATTTTCATTGTTGTAACGTCTTCTTTATAATGTATATTAATATGAAAAGTTAATTGAAGACCATTTCTTTTTATGTCCCCGTAGTCGAAGATTCGGGGGTATATAGTTTTATCGTGTTCGTCTGTATGTCCGTCTGTCTATCTGGCGGTTTGTTTGTCCGCAAAAACCTTAACCTTTACCATAACTTTTCATTTATTGGAGCTATGACTTTCATATTTAATATGTATATTCCTTGTGACAAGACCTTACTTTGGGTACCACCAAATTTGACCTTTTGACCTTGACCTTGGAGTTTATCCCATTTTACACAAAGATGCCAAATTTTTACTTTGGCCATAACTTTTGAACGGTAGATACTAGTTTTCCGTACTTATGATTTTTTTTACCTTGGCCATAACTTTTGAACGGTAAGGGCTAGGATATTCATACTTCACATATGTAATCCTTGTTACATTTAAACATTTTCTTAAGAAATCATCAACTTTGACCTTTGAGTTTGACCTACCTTTCAAAAACTTATCCTTAGCTATTACTTTTGAACAAGTGGTGCTAGGGCTTTCCTATTTTGCAGTTGTATTTCATGTGAGAAGACCCTACTTTGGGTAACAATATATTTAAACTGCATTTAAGAAAAGTTTAATCTTCGCTATGTTGCCATACAGGGGCATAGCTGTTTCACAAACACATCTTTTTATATATGAGGATTTGCGGATAAGAGATGGATACCTCAAAGCGTAACAGACGGACGGACAGACATCCAGATCACTATATACCCTCCCGCTTTTCAAGCGGAGGATATAATAATATATAATACTGCTGATTTTTTCTGTCAGTTCGATGATTTCCACCATCAAAAAACAATGTTTACCTAACCCTTAAGGCTTGATAAATCTTTTACTCCTTTAGATTCTGAATCAATGCATTTACCTTAAAATATAGCTATAATTGTATAATGTTATGAGATCAACATATCATCAGTTTATTCCCAATAAGCTCAGGTGAGCATTTTGGCCAATATGTTTCTTTATCTATTTTTTTTTTGCCCCCTAAAAATTTTAGCTTTAATCTACAGGGGGTCATTTTTCTACGGGGGTCATTTTTCTTCACGTGGGTTCTGCAAATTTTTAAGGAAGTGACACTTTTTCTACGGGCAAAAGGGTCATTTTTCTACGTCGAATAATGACCGGGGGTCATTTTTTGCTGTCGAAAAATGACCCCCGGTCATTATTCGATGGGGGTCATTATTCGTCTTTACACCGGAAATAAGCTCCTCAATCTTTGCCAGTTTCCACAAATTTCTGGGGTTAAATTCATCAAAAATTTGAACGATGTCTCCGGTCTGGATATTTTGTTTGCTTTCTCCATGACTGCGATGATATTCTCTTAAGGATGTTAAGTATTCCTTTCTCCAGCGTTGCCAAAAGTGTTGAATGGCTTTTTGTTAAATGTTGTAAGTTTCGTTCGCAGATACATGGTTCAAATCAGTTGTTACGTTTTCTTCATTGGAACTCCCAGGATAAGGTAATGACTTGATTTCCTTCCATATAGTAGATGAGATGGTGTTTAGGGATCTTCGTCCAATGGGTCGGCTGATGCATATGTCAGAGGGCGGTCATTCAGAATGCATTCAATTTCTACGATGATTGTGTTCAGGACATCTAAATTTACAAAGGATCGTCCCAGTACTTTCCTTAGGCAGTTCTTTGTAAGTCCTATTAGTCGTTCCTAGAAGCCTCCGTACCAGGGTGCACTCTTAGGTATGAATTTCCATCTTGTACCATGGGTGTTTAAGGTTTCTTGAAGACTGTGTGAAGATGTTAACTTTTTGATTTTCCTAGAAGAAACATAGGTGGTTGCGTTGTCAGATATCATAATTTTTGGAAGTGATTTCCTGCTGGAAAATCTTCGAAAGGCTAAAATGAATTGTTCTTCAGTGAGGTTCGTTACCAATTCCAGGTGAACAGCTCTTGTACTAGCACAAGTGAAAAGACATATGTATACTTTGCCTTCATGTCCATTCTTTTTTTGTACCTTCAGGGCACCAGTGAAATCCACACCAGTTACAGTAAATGGAGGTTCTTCTCTCAATCTGTCTTTAGGTAACGGTGGTGCTTCTGGAATGGGATAAGGTTTTCCCATGATTTTTCTACATGTAATGCATTTTTCGCAAAACAGATTTTACACTCTGGCGAATTCTTTGTATCCAGTAATTCTGTCTCAACAATGTGACTGTACTATTGACTCCTGAGTGCAAATTTCTTCTATGTGCATCTAAAACAATCAAAGTGGTCAGTGGATCTTTGGACGCTAGGAGTATTGGATGCTTTGCTGTTTTGCTGATTAGTGCATTGTGTATTCTCCCTCCACATCGGATCAGTTCCTCATTGTCTAGGTATAATTTCAGCTGTTTTGATAGACAAGTTTAGATTTGATGGCGGTTGGACCCTTTAATTTCCTCTAATTATCGAAGTATCCACTTTGATTTACACCATTTATCAAATATACTGATGTATAGTACTCCAGAAGTTTCTCCTGCTGTAAATAAATCATTTTAAATACGGATAAACAGAAGCTTGGTAAAGTATTTTCGGGAACCCACTATGTATTTGTTTTGTAAAGATTTTATCGAGCTTAGAAAATTGAATATACAACTAGATTATTCCCAATAATAAACCCTGAATTTCACAATGCTTACTCTATTTTACTTTTGATAATGTTCCTATTTATTTTGTTGTTAAAATATTATATAAAGATTTTGTTTCTTGTTCAGATAAAATTTAGAGAAACTTGAAATAAAAAGGTAGAATTAAGTTTTCTTTTTCCTTTGTTCACTATTTGAAGCGAGAGTTTTTCTTCTTTTTATAATTTTCTGTAAACCTGCTAAGGTTAATTGGTTTCTATTTTAAGATTTGCTTGACGATTTTCTAATTTAAAAAAAAAAATGCCTTTTCATTTTACAAATCTCATGTCAATATAACATCATTTGGAGTAAAAAAATGAACGTCTTTTTTTTGAAAGACTTTTTTGTGCCATAATGGCTTCATCGTTGCTAACTACGGCCAAAATGTCGAACATCTTCTAAGCAGTATGGCTAAGAAAAAAGCAGTCATTATTGAAGTTTGAATATAAAAAGTGACTAGTGGAAGGGAGAAGGCCATGATTTGAACAAACCTCAATCAACACTATGAGAGAATGCTTCCAAAATATAAATATGAGTAATCGTGGCTTAAGTAGATTTTTAAAAATTAAATGACATTTTACTTCAACCGTTGGTTTATCAGCTTTAAGTGATATGCACTGTACCCAGATGGAGATAAAGAATAGAATGGACGAGAAAATATAAAATAGAGAAATAGAGCAGTGGTCTTTAGGTTGATTTGTATACTTAATGTGTCATAGCAGTAAAATGCGTTATCTTATCACAGATAGTATCAATGACTTAAAATATCTTTAAAAATTGATATTAACACCTATTATGCAAGCTACCACAATTACATGTCCATATAAACTGAATTTGTTTGCATCAATCAAAAATCCTACCCTAAACCTCTTAATCAATTTTGATTCTGAATAATCTTGTATCTTAGTTCTCGGTGACCCAAATAAATGTGCATATACATACAAGTATTTCAATCCTTACCTCTTTCTGAATGACGCTAAAATACCCTGTTATCATCACTTATCAGGTCACAAGTAACAGCTGTTAAAAAGATTGCCTGACTAAATCAATCAATATCTGCATGAGGAGTGATAAACCTTTTGAGTAATACTTTTGTGGGTTTAAAATATGTTCTTACTTTATATTTTGAAAACCTTGTTTAAATAAAATCCTTGATTTTATTTAACTTAAACAGAAGAATCATCATTACACTGCATACTAGAGAGTTGTTGGGGGGGGGGGGGGTGCAAGTGGAGTGATCTCCCTTGGATCTAATTTAAAAGCATCATTACACCTGTTATATAATATCTATAATATCTGTTATGAAATCATGCAATGTAAACATATTGAAAGATGGATATAATTTAGAAACACACATTTTGTCGGAGTGTATTTATTCCACTGAAGTAAACAATAGTAATGTGTGTCCATTGAAAATTCAATATTTAGGCATTTGTGGAAAGAAAAAATCAAAGATTTTGTACTGGTTTATAACTTATTGTGTGCATCTGAAACGGGGAATTCAAATGTTCCATGACTTGTTGAACTGCGTTGTTTACTAGTCCATTTATGAAGTAAACAAACCGCGGGATCGGGAAACAAATTAGAAAAAAAATCATTTCTTTAGTGTTGCATGTCCATATACCGGTACTGATATATACGATATGTTACTTAAAAGAATGATTAAAAAAATTGTAGATAGAATTTCTGAAGTATCAGAAGGAGGTTAATTAAAAGGACAAACTTTATTTTAGTCCATAAACGTTAACACACCCATTCACACAACAGAACAATCCAAGGAATAAATGTAAGCTTCCTGTGACATTTTTGGCGCGAAAAGAGCGATTCACCCCTTTCGTAGAATATAAATGGACTGATCCAGTAGTATAGAAATGCAGAAAATAAGATACACGGACATGTTGAAACGGTGAATCACATGGAATAATTGTTCCATGCAGAAAGATTAAAGGAAGTAAACACTACAGTATCTTGCATCAGTAATATCATTCTTTTTTCTGAAAACTGTTTCTTTTAAAATGCAGGTAAAGAATTCCAATGTAAATCAGCTTGCAAAAAATCTAGCTCTCTGGTTATGATCTATTAGTTTCGGATTTTGCAAATATCATCCCTTATACAGCCTGACACCGTGACGTCAGGCAACGTCACATCAGTAATATCATTCTTTTTTCTGAAAACCGTTTCTTTTAAAATGCAGGTAAAGAATTCCAATGTAAATCAGCTTGCAAAAAAATCTATAGCTCTCTGGGTATGATCTATTAGTTTCGGATTTTGCAAGTATAAATCCTTCTACAGCCTGACGCCGTGACGTCAGGCAATAAAAGTTGACTCCTCCTTAGTATCCGTGAAATATCAAAAACAATTGTAACTGATGGGTTTTGAAAAATGCACATTGATTGACAAAGATCTTTGCAACCAAAAAGAGTTGGATGCAGATAAAGTGATATCTTCTACATTATAAGTGCTCGATGCTTATATGAAATGATGTATTACATTATAAGTGCACTTAATTGTTGCATCTTTTTCAGTATAACCTTTTAAGCTATTAGTGTAAACAATAAACACTTAATATTAAATAACCTAATTTTCAGGCACCGGATGCTTCGATAAACCAAAAACAAATTGGAATCAAGCTTTTCACGGACCTCTAAAATATCAGAAGTGCAATCAGGTGCCATAGAAGAGTAAGTAACCCTTATCAACCAGTCGAATTCAGGGGTTCTCCTTGTCAAGAACGGGCAAACTGAAGAACCAGTGGACAGTTCATGTAGTACATGTATATAAAAAAAATTGTCAAACATTTAGCGTGAATCTGAATTGGACATAGTGATTAAGCTTGTCCGACATTTACATCAACTTAAAGAAAGAGGTACATGTATTTACATTTTTAAAGACAACCTCGTATACTTATATGTATGTCAAAAAGGTCTTAGTATATATTCAAAGATGTCGTCGATTTATTTCTATAAATTAGAATTTTAATAGGAATTGACTGACGTTAATCTTGATTAGAATGCATACGGTTCTGTAAATAAAGAAAAAGTAAGGGTTTCGGAAAACATTCATCTGCAAGAAAAAAAAGTACCAGTATCAATATATGTCCACAAGAACAAAAAAAAAAGAAATTGATTGAATAGCAATCCCATTAAAATTCTATTCATTCACATATTTTCACGACACGTAACCTTTCAGATTTTAGTGTTTTACCGGATGCTGAGTATTGATATGAGGAACAAAAATGCTTAATGTGTATAAAGTTCGTCGTTCTGAGGGCATATATATGTATATTGTACTTGAAGATACTCCATGTATTGAAGTTTAAAGATCAATAGAGCAAAAACAAAATGCATACCTTCTTGGGGTATATAAAGGTTTTCAGGACAACAAGCTTTCAAAGAGAATATATTCTTAGAGACATTGAAATTCAACATATTTCACAAAAATCATTCAATAGGTATACACTGAGATTTATCAAGTTTAAAAGAAGTGAGGAAGAAAACAACAGATGTTAGAATGGTTTATATCAAAACTGGCCTTATCTTAAGTTTCTGTGGACTTCATATTGCGTGTTGTTATAATGTCACAGACGAGGACCATCTTCACAAATACCTGTTCTCAGAATACAACAAGGACCTACGAGCTGGAATTGACAGGGACTACGCCTTGAACTTGTCAATGAAATTTTATCTTTTTGCAATCAAAGAATTCACCGAAGCGACCGGTAAATTTGCCTTGAATGGCGTGTTTCTCATAAGCTGGGTAGACGAAAGACTAGCCTGGGATACTATGAAGTTCAACAATATTACTGAGACATTAGTTACTAAGGATAAAATTTGGACACCGAATATTCTATGTAGAAATCCTTTCGAAGAAGCCTTTGGATTCGGGAGCAGTCTTGAATTAGTGCATCTGTACTCAAATGGGACATGTATTTGGTCCACTCTACAATCCTATGCCGTCATTTGTGACGCAGACGTGACGTACTTTCCTTTTGATAAACAATACTGCACTCTAAAATTTCTTGCAACCGTGTTGAAAGAAAATTGGCTAAATATAACGTTTGCTGAATCTAAAGTTGATATGACGTTTTATGAAGAGAATGGATTGTGGCTAGTAGAGGATACTACAACTTACACTGAATTAATACAAGTCTTGCCTCATGTTGTTGTTGGGTTATATTTGCAGCGCAGACCCACCTTTTACATAGTGTGTATCAATCTTCCTCTGTCGTTTGTCTCAAGTCTGCAATTCTTTGTATTTCTACTTCCAAATGAATCCGGTGAAAGACTTAGTTTCTCTGTTACATTACTTTTGGCCAATGTTGTTTTCCTCACAATTATTCAGGAAAATCTTCCAAAGTCCTCAGAGCCAAGTATTCCTATTTTAGGATTCTTTTTCCTCTGGCATGTTATCTTTGGTTCAATCGTAACATTGTGTGTAATTCTCAGTTC